CTATTGCAGTTACTTTTCGTAATATGAATATTGAGATCGGTTGATTTCTGACAAACAGAATTGTGTTTACCATAATTTACAGGTGCATTATCTGCTGAATAAGCTGTTACGTTTTGAATATCAAGATTAAAGTTTTCTAAACAAGATTTTAGGTGTGTAGCAATTGATTCGGATTACTCTTTATTTTCTTCATATAAGTCTAAAATTCTATATTTTACCTCAATGTTTATAAATATCAAAGCATCTGACAGCAATTGGGAAAAGTTTTCTATTTCCCTTATTCGATGCATTCGTTCATTTTGAGAATGGTTCTCCATTGTTAGCAATCAGTTCTTCTAAAACCATTTCTAATGATTTTGGAGCTAACACATTTTCGACAATTGTCTCTGCTTTAGTTTGCCCACATTGAACTTTCATGCTGAAAGTCATGAACTTTCATGCTTTCAACCTGAAGTTCCTTTGGAGTTCCTTTTATCGTCAAAAGATGTTATTAATTGATTTGAAGCAACATCCTTCATTTTTTGTATATGGTTTAGACTGTTTAAATGCGTTTTTAACGCCTTTCTCCACCATGTTTGACAGTGAAATCAATCTTGCATATTTTACATTTGCCAGTTAAATCATCAAGTTTAATTAACCAGCTTTGATAATTTATGTCATTTAACCACTTATCTTGAAAAGATGTCGAATAATTATATTTTCGTTTCTTCGCCGGAGTGGTTTCAGCTATCCAAGATGATCGTATAAAACAGGCTTAACGGGTCAATCGGAGTAGTAGAGACGAGTGAAAAATTAAAAGTGTTGAAATTTATATTTATTTGTTGCTTACTTGGCAATGTTGAGAAATGGCGGGTAAAAGTTTTTTCTCAATAATTTTTAAACCGTAGCTGGTAAAAGTTTCTAAAAGGGTGAACAAAAGTGGTCAAACAAATCCAAAATTTTGCATTTTTCAATTTTTTTCGGGCCAGTTTCACGCGCTCTGGATGGAGTGGAATACGTTTTTTGGCAATTATCTGCTAGAGGAAACGTGGTAAAAATAATCTAGTTAGTGATTAAAGGTGGGTAATTGTTGGACAAATGAAAGCGCACTTTTAATTTTCGTATTTTTAATATTTGAGTCAAAACCTTGTAGTTGCGAAAAGTGTGAAGTTGGCCCCAAAAAATTGTTTTTGCTCTAATTTGTGAACGGAGGCTGGTAAATATTTTCTAAGGGGTGGACAAACGTAAGCACACGAAAATTCGAAATTTTGAACTTTATTGGCCCAAGTTCACGGGGGTCTTCGGCCGTCGGTAAACAGGACCTTAAGCTTAACTCGCAACCCGTCTGGAAACACCACCTCTTGTTTTGGCAACGCATGAAATACCTTTGGTATCCCTTTCACTTTTAGAGACCTACGGTCGCGAGCCCTCAGATTTCGGAGTGAGGGCACTGGCTGGGAGGGAAGACTGTGGCTAATATTTGTTGGAAGAAGATTCTGTCCTTATTAGGCTTCAACGTACTGCAACCTCTACACTGGAAAGAGTAAACACTTGTCTCTTGGCAAATGCCACTTTGAGCGTTTACTGGACTGTCAGTTTTGTGTCATTTTAAGAAAATTATATTTTGTTATTTTTTATTAATTATTTTCAATAATTATTAATTTGCTACTGAGTTATGTTTTATTGGTATTTTTAATAATTTTATTAAGGATTTATTATATATTTAATAATCATATTCAATAATAAGAATAGTACATTTTTATAAATAATGAAGAGCTTGGCGGTAATGTTTCACGAGGTCTCAGAACGCTATCTCTCTGAGCGGACTTTTATTAATAATTATAGTTACGTCGGTGTTAATAAATTGATGAATAGTCAAAACTTCCCTCCACATCTTCACTATTACAGTTTTGTTTCTTAAGCATACTACTGGACAGAATCACCTAAGGAAATGTTTAGTTTCTTGCATGTCCCTGCTCCCCCCATGGGGGGGGGGCATCCACTCTGTGCAGCGCGAGGCACGACTATCTTAAAAGGTGGGAAAAACACGCGGTTGGCAAATTGCCAAAACAAGAACAAGTGCTCTCGGACATGGGTTGCGAGTTACGCTGAAGACTTGAATACTGGGCGGCCTGACTCTCGAAATGGTAGAAGAAAGGAGACTGAATTGCTAGCGATAGTGTTTGTGATTGTGACTTACGCCGACTGTGCTAAGTAATGTGTTGTTTGTTCGGTATTTTGTGAGTTGGCTACGAACTGGTGCATCTTCCGGCGGTACGAAACCCGGCTATGGACTAGGTATATTCTTTCCGGCGATTTTAGAAGTATATTTTGTATTCTGAGGAAGAGAATTGATTGTATGAAGGCCAAAACCAAAAAAAATGTTTGAAAACTGAAAAATCTTATTTCGTGTATTTCACTTCTTGTGACAGACTTAGTTGCAAGTGAGAGGGTGACGCTGTTACCCTGGAGCCTTGGCAGTTCTTCAGAGTTTTATGGGTGCCAGCCCCATTTTGGCCTGCCACGCAGCTGTGCGTAACAAATCGGGACAAGGAATGAGCGTTAGATATGGTAAATAGCGCACATGCGAGATGTCAAGACATCTCAGTACATACGTACGTATACAAAAAAAAGTCAAAAGGTATTTTGGCCAACTTCTCGGCTCTACCAGTTATATTCGCGGACGTATTCTCGACATGCATCGCGAATCTACCGGACGATTCAGACCTTTTGAATGGGTCGAGAAAGAGAATCTCAGCGAATGTCATTGTATGAAGCGAAAATGAATAAAAGTCGTCGTGAGTTTTTGTTGCACAATGCGCTCGCTCATTGGCAAGACCGCGCGGACTGTCTACTCGACGTCCGGCGAGTGTAAATCTGCGTTTTGCAAGAGATCTTAATGAAAAACTTAACGTTCAAAGAAATTAGCATTCTACATTCAACCACAGAAAAGGATGGGATTTTTGTTTTTAACAAAAACTTCCCAAACCGGGAAAATTGATACTATCTCCCACCTCACCCGCGAAACTGACAATGAGAGTTTGCCGTTCACATCTAGATCACATGAACATTAGACGATATGAATTTCAAGAATATTTTATAATGATTGTGAAAGAATTGTAATAGAAAAACTACGAACAAGGGCGGGACAGGAAGAAAATATGGTGACAGAAGGAAATGTACGTAGGTGGCGTCAGAAGACTGCAGAAAATCCAAATTCAGGCAGGTTTAAAACGACTGTGAATTTTGTAATTTCCACGATAACATGTTTAACCCATGCCTCAACTCTCTGTGGTGAAAAGATGATCATCCTACTTTTGAGGCTTTAAAATGACGTTCTCAGGATATTTTACACAATATTTACTTCTCAAGAAAAAGTTTTCCATTTTTGTGACATCGGCATTCACTGCCTATTTATGCTTTTTAATGCCTCTGCTGCTTATTAATATTATAAATGAGAAATTGTACCTGAAAGTAATGTTATTGAAAATATGTATCAAATTGGTTGTCAATGATATTTGTTTAAATTATTTACTTGAATATGTTCAAAATTAAATTGATGCTTGTACAAATATTTTTATCTTTTTGTAACTATCAATGCACTTGTCATACAAAGGTCCACCTAGTCACACTGACCCAACTTTTTATTTTTATTTCACAGTTAGTGCTACTTAATTTGGCAATTACTTATTGGCATTACAAAATAGTTTTTTGCATCAATGTTGACTATACCTTCCCTGGTAATGCTTCTCTGTGGCCCCAGTTCTCTGGGTGTTGAGTCTGCTTGGAAAGTAAGGGAGAACTTTTCTCCTCTGCACATCCCGTAAAATGTACATCTTCACTGGAGTTCAATTAAAAAAAAATATGCTAAGTTTTCACAAGAGAAACATCTAAAAATTGTGTAAAGGCCTCTACCATTTTTTTATCTATTCTCAGTCAGAATTATTTGGACTGCTGAATAGGTATAATCACTTACCTATTGTATTCTACAATCAATTTTGGAAGTGGAATACACACCTTGTTTCTTTTTGTCTGAACCACTGAATATTGAGAAATAGTTCTACAAGTATTGCTAATGTTACCATTTTTTTCACATTATGTCACAACAAGAATTTTGTTCTTGATTGCCGATATGTGACCTGCATGACCTTTCAAGAACTTCTTTTCCATCTCCTTTCATATTTGAAGATGGAACTTATTTGTACGCAATTTGCACCATACGCCAGTTTCCTTTAGCTAATTTCAATAAAGCAATTCAGACTGCTAAATAATTGTCAAAATAGATTTTGTATCTGACAGATTCATAAGAAGGCCATTATTGGGAATATCCTCTTCATCTAACGACTGATTTCATTCAAAGAAATAACTGAAATTGTGACAATATCGTTATTTACCTCTCCATTTTTGTTGATTTTTATTTTCAGCAAAACAATTTTTCAACAGTTACTCGGTCTACACTTTGATTTAAACACAGCTTCACTTCAAGGTCATGAGCTGATGGAGAGTGTTTGCTGTTAAGACAATGTCATCTAACTGGTTACTCCAATACCAAAAAAAATGTAAGTCAATTGAATGAATGTCTCCGTTCAGCTTATGACCTTGAAGTGAAGCTGTGTAAATGTAAGCTGAATTTAAAATTGGTGTACAATTAGTCTTTGATCATCTGAAAAATTCTGTATAACCATATCATTCAACATTGCCTCAAAGTTGCATTTTATCACCAAGAAATCACAAATTAAAAATCAAAACAACCAAACAAATATGATATAACATTCTGATGAAAACTAAAATTACACCGTCATTTGAAAACTGAACATTTGAAATAGTAAACACTCAATAATCAAATATAACAATCAACATTAAATATAAAAGTATATGCCAATCATTAAAAATATTTGGCACACTACAAGGTAAAGATGAGTCCATAAATAAAATTTGAAATCCACTTTGAATGTTATAGAAAAAACAAATTTTTAAAAATTATTTATAACTTTATAGTACAAATAATATATTATATTCTACAAACACATGACATCACACAAATAGTTCTGATGATTGGTGCATGCTGAATAAGTAGTAACTTGCTCTGTTATTTTCTCTTCAGCTTGAAAATGGCAGCCGAAGGAGCTTATAAGCAAATCCAAATTTAAGCAAATGATCATTTACAACTGTTCTGGAAATTTGGATCATCTGTTCGCCAACCTGTAGCCCTTTCACCAAATGCATATATTAATTTGCCTCGCACAGACTGGAAGATGTTTTTTCCATAATAATACCTGTAAAAAAAGATTTATAACTAGGGAGAGGATTTTTATGCCCTAAAAAATTGTGAAATATGCTTTCAAAAATATGCATTTATGCCCTATAAAGAATCTCAAATATGCAATTTAATTTAATAATATTTTATTTTCTGCATTAGTCTTTCTTGATAAAATTCACGAGAAGTGTGCTCAGAATGAAAATATATATTTTTGTGCAAACAGAATATAATCTACCTTACTTCACAGAACAAATAATTCAAGTAAATATTCACTTCAGTGATGTACATCCTAAGTCATGTTGCATTTCTTCTGTTGTGTTTAAAAAAATGTAATAACAAGAAATTTCCTTCTTTTGCACATCATCTATAGCAAATATAACGCAAACTGTGACAAGTTCTTTGTAATCGATAAACACTCAAATAAATCGTATGAAATGTTTTAGATATATGTCTCTATTTTAATGAAATATGCCCCTTTATAATTATACGAAAATCTACCAACAGGAAAAATAGGCCAAATATGTACTAACAAATTAATCTACATTGCATCCAATTGTATGTAACAAAATGTCAAAAAAATTTCACTTAGCATTGAAGCAATGGGCAAAATCATATAAAATCATAGAAGTCCGCTCCCTACTCTTACCTGATGTCAATGAATATTACATTTGATTTGTTCATAACATATAAGGAACCAATTTGAAATTTAATTATAATTACAAATTAGTATAATTTCTATAAAATTAAGAATACTGACCTCATTGCTCTACTTAACTTTTCAAAGTTCATACTTGGGTTCCCTTTAATATCACCCCAAAGTTTGGCAACTTCATTATTCTGGACAAATCTGAAGATACCTTTCTCATAATTTTCCCAACAGATAATACTTGGACAATATGTTGGATCCTTGAGGAGGCCTTGAATGAATTCCAAAACAGAGCAACATTTCTTTCCTGGAAAAGGAATTGTTCTAACATTGAGGAAACATTAACAATGAAAGCATGCAAAATACTGAGGAGATACACTTAATAACTCACTTCTATTTCTTTTAATTTGATGACCAGCTTCATTTATTGCCAGTGGTCTCCTTCCTATGAATAATACATCATTATTATTGATTTCAAAATAATATTAAATATATAAATAATATTAATTTATTTAACATATAAAGACATGTTAATAACAATCATTTAAAACTTTGAAGTTACCTTTTCTTTGAAATTTTTTATTGTTTGAATGTTGCTTTACAATTTTGAAAATAAATTCTCCACTTCCTTTGTCCCTTTTTTGAAAATCATCTTTGGTCATGTTCAGTAATGTTTCTCCATTCACATCATGAAAACATCTTAAATCAATTTTTTCATAGTCAAAATTATTCTTTAGGGCTTCTTTGCATATCCATTCCCTTACTTCAGGTGGTGACCACTGTGGCATTGGCTTTGAACCTTCTCTTAGTTTCAGGAAATCTATAGAGAAATAAAGTTAATAAATATGACTTCGTATCAGCATCATAAAATTATTATTTCAATACATACCATTCATAAGTTTTGTAGTCTTTCCTTTAGCTGTTAGACGTAGATCTTGAAGAGCCACATTTGACATGTGCCATGACAAACTGTGAGTTTTAGAATCAACACCATTCATAATAAATGTCATCCCTATTCTGTAATTATTAGCAATTTGAAAGTTTCCTTAAAAAGAGAAAAACGTAAAATAAATTACATGTTCTCCCCACAACAAGGATCAGAGATATTAGTTTCTTTTCATTATGGCAAGGGCAAAACTATTAGCATATATTTTGGATCAATTGGAAATTGGCAGTTTCATAAAAAAATTTCATATCAGCCAGATTGGAGCAAATAAACAAACAAACTGAAAGCTGGAAAGAGATATTTTAAGATATGACATGATTTACTACAAAGGAGTCGATGGGCCGACATATCCAAGATAATGTGGAAATGATATAGATGAACAATCATTCCACTTCTTTATATAAATAATGAAATGTATTTCTATTACAGTTCCATTCCCTGTTGGTACACATACATAATCAAATTTATTTCCACAATCCCTAAATTCATAGAAATCAGAATAAACATTAGTTTAATAGTACACATAACCTGTGATGTTTGTATTCTTAAGTGCCTAAAATAAAGTGCACATTGAAATTAATTTTGAAATCACTTTTGAGAAAGTAGCAAATTTCCTTTTTATTGTATGGAGTACTACTCACGTCAGCTCTTTTCCATTGTATTATGGGGTTATGTGCTGGCAATGTCAAATTATTAAACATTCATCCTACATCAGTGATGTATCCCAAGTTTCAATTAACACCTTTCATCGCATCGAAGTGTAATCATAGTTAGCACTTTAACAGTTCTACAGGTACTTTTGGATCCCTACTTCGTCAGCTATGCCCGCAAGCAACGGAAATCAGGAGTACAGTAAGAAACCGACTTCCCAACGCACCGCGTCGCACCTGGTCTGACGTCCTGAATGCTATCTTGAAGATGCCTCCAATCTACATTCGAATACGGCCTTCATGATTGCTGTCTATGCGTTTCCACAAAACAAACTGAGAGAAATTAAATTTTTAGAACAATAATTTTGTGAATAGCTAAATAATGTTATTGGTTTTCCAGTATAGACCAGGCACAAGCTGCAGAAAGTTTATTTGGTTCCTTCCCAGGACAAGTACATGACTACCTTTCGTCTTCCTAAAATATTAAACATATGGATGCAGCTGTAAGCTGGTGCAACCTATGGTGGAAATAACCTCCATGGTTCAACCTTTGCGCGAAACCGGGTCCTTCGAAGGTGAGAACACCCGAATGACGACCTCCTGAAGACCTTCATTTCTGTTGACCTCCCCATGCAACCATCTCAAATTTTGTTGAAATATTGTACTATACAGAGTCCCAACTGACTGAGAGCAACTTTTTGAAAATTCCTCCTTTCTTAGGAGCAATGGCGGATTTAAAAAATCAGCCTTATCTCAGGATTCTCAAATATAGTCTAACAAGTCTCTAAAATTGTTTATAAAAGAGGTGTCCAACTAGCAAGACCTCAAGGGTAACAACTAAAAAAAATGAATATGGTCACGGGCCATTACTCGGTTGATCCACAGTTGACCCTTGTTGATTACACAGTTTGCCCGGCTGCTCTGAAACAGGGGGCGTGGAACCATACATGATATCAGGCTCTACCATGCATAACACTGTGAAACACATTGGGATGATTTTGAATTTCTGAATTAACTAGACAAAATCATTCAGCTTCGTGTCTCGAGTTTTT